AGCCAGTTCTGACTCATGGCATTTCTGTGTATCAGAGTGGAACTGTGCTCCACGGTGTGTTCACGGCTGGGCCTTCCAGAAATACATGCTCAGGCTGTTCTCCCACGAGTGGGGCTAGAATTACCAATGTTTCTGGTGGTACTGGTGCAGATGGTTAAGCATTTCACTGCTAACTAAGAGACTGGTGGTTTGACTCCACCTGAGGGACCTGGGAGGAAAAGCCTGGCATTCTTTGAAAAAATCATCCATTGAAAACCCTGTGGAGCCCAGGCTCTAAAGTCATACTGTCTGCATGGGTTCAAATCCTAGCTTTACCGCATACAAAGTGTATGACCTTAGGCAGATGCTCAGTTCCCTCAACTGTAAAACGGGTCTAGAAATGGGATTGGGATTAAATACTTCGCTTGTGATTTGGCGTATTGTAAGTTATCAGCAATAAAACGGGTCTAGAAATGGGGTTGGGATTAAATACTCGCTTGTGATTTGGCGCATTGTAAGTTGTCAGCAGTTGTTGCTGTCACTCTCACCAGCTCCATCTGAGCACATGCTGCCTTGTTGAAGGAGAAAGGCTCCTCAGGGCAGGTCATGCTTTTGTAGTGCACCGTATTCACCATGTCTGCCACGCTGCCGGGGACACATGGGCAGGTGTGAGTGAATGGCCAGCATTAGTCAGTCAGTGGTGTACAAGGTTAAAGATTGACAGTCCTATTTCCTTTCTGAGTTTGGAATCAGCTGAGTCAGAGGAGCAGAAGGTGGGGATTCAGCATAAGCTCTACTGAGGACAGAGCGGTGGGAGAAAATCGCTCCCTCAGTGCACATCAGCAGTGTGCTGCCTCTGTCCTCCAGGTGGACAGCCTGGCCACCCCACAACCTGCAGTTCTCGCCTGCTGCTGGCCAGCTCACAGGTGCCCACCCGGCAGAGTTTCTGCTGTGTCACCCACCCGTTCTCTGCAGGCAGGCACATCCTCATGAGAAGGGGGCTCAGCCGTGAGTGCTTGGTCCTGTGCCAGATTCGTTCGTCAGACCTGTCAGTTCTCCTGGCAGAAGCAAAGACACGGAGGATGGATGAAGGCGTTCAGGTGGCCAGCCCTCACATGGAAAGTGAGGGGGCACACTGGGATCAGTGAAGCTACTGAGCAGACATGAGCAGGCTGCATCCAGTTTCATGGCCGACTGAGCTTGCTTCGTTCACCCTGGTCCTTCCAGCTGCCCCGGGTCTACGCAGGCCAACTCTGGAGCCCAGGTGTTACTGTGGTGCATGTGTGAATGGCACGTCCTTCTTCCCTCTGCCTTCATCGGTCCTCTTCAGCAAAGTTTCCCTACTGCCTTCACCCAGGTGGTGGTGGTTGTGTGCCATTGAGTCGATTCTGACTCCTAGCAACCTTACACGACAGAGTGGAATCACTCGATAGGGTTTCCTAGGCTGTGATCTTTACATGAGCTTATTGCCAGGTCTCTTCTCCCATGGAAAGGGTGGTGGGTTTGAACCAACAACTGATTGGTTAGCAGCTGAGCACTTAACTACTGTGCCAGCAGGGCTCTTTTTAATTCAGCTTAGAGGGCTGTTTCTTTTTTCACCTCTTTCTCTTGTTTATCCCATCTGACACTTGTCACACCGTAATGCACTCACTTGCAATCCTGGTCCCCCTCCCACTAGGCTCTGCATTCCTCAGGGACAGGGACTGAGGTGCAGTGAATTACTTCATGTGGTCCTTCGAACCATGACCTTTGTGACTCCCACCAGGTGACTGCTTGGAGCTAGGCAAATACGAGGTGCAGGTGGCCCACCAAGGTGGCCCACCATATGTAACTATGGTACATGGTACCCTTGTGGGTGTGGAACCATGCAAATGAGGTATATGGAACCCTAGCATGAGGATTGGTCAGATTTGCCATCTCACTGGGCTTATAATGAGCCATCCCAGAGGCTAAAAGGGGGATCTAACTACCATCAAGAAAGAGCAGCCAGGAGTGGAGTGTGTCCTTGGAACCGACATCCCTGTGCTGAAATGATGGCAGAGAGAAGGCGGCAGAACCAAGAGACCAGCATGAGACAGAGTGGTGGCCTTGCCAGCCCAGGGAGTGAGGAAGCTGAGTGCCTTTGGGCAGGAGGCTTGCTGCAGAGTGGGATGCCTCTTTGGGAACCTATAATCAAAGCTTTAAAAGAGCTTTGTAACACTGGCCTGAGCAGGGCAGAGGCCAAGGCCAGAGAGAAGGGTGCCTGCATCATGGCTGAGCAGCAGCTGTCCTGATTGAAGTACCGTGTCCTGCCTTGTTTCTGATTCTCAATTGTAACCTGTCATTTCCCTGAAAAACCCAATCATTGTGAGTATTGTCTGTGAGTTCTGTGTGGCCATTGCAATGAATTATTGAACCCTGCAGAGAAGTAGAAAGTGCAATGGGAGGGATGGTTGGTGTCAGAACTAGTAAAAAGGTTGGAGGGTGACGTGGCAGCATATCTGACCTCTGCCTCATAAGAATTGGTCTTGGGCTGTTGATGTTTTTCTGGATCCTCCTTCCACCTCTTGAAGTTAGAGAAGGTCAGAAGCTGCTCCTACTACCCCCTTTTTGCAAGGACTGACTCTTTTGTCTTTGTATGTGCCTGGTTCCTGGTGGACCCTTAGGTCCTGCTTATTGAATGAAACCACCCATCCTCAGTCTCATTTTGTTTATTGTTCAGCTCTTGGTGTTAGGTTCCTAAGAAGCAAATTCGTAACAAGAATCTAAGAAGGTGCAAAATGTCCAATGTAACTGTGCTGTCATCTCTCCCCAGACTAGGTCCCACCCAGCTCAAAATCTTCACGTGTGAGTACTGCAACAAGGTCTTCAAGTTCAAGCACTCGCTACAGGCGCACCTGCGGATCCACACCAACGAGAAGCCGTACAAGTGCTCCCAGTGCAGCTACGCTAGTGCCATCAAGGCCAACCTCAATGTGCACTTGCGCAAGCACACGGGTGAGAAGTTTGCCTGTGACTACTGCACCTTCACCTGCCTGAGTAAGGGCCACCTCAAGGTGCATGTCGAGCGAGTGCACAAGAAGATCAAACAGCACTGCCGATTCTGCAAGAAGAAGTACTCCGATGTCAAGAACCTCATCAAGCACATCCGAGACGCGCACGACCCACAGGACCAGAAGGTCCGGGAGGCCTTGGACAAGCTCTGCCTGATGACCAGGGAGGGCAAGCGGCAGCTTCTGTACGACTGCCACATCTGTGAGCGTAAGTTCAAGAATGAGCTGGACCGTGACCGCCACATGCTGGTGCACGGGGACCAGTGGCCCTTTGCCTGTGAGCTCTGTGGCCATGGCGCCACCAAGTACCAGGCGCTGGAGCTGCATATCCGTAAGCACCCCTTTGTGTACGTCTGTGCCGTGTGCCTCAAGAAGTTCGTCAGCTCCGTCAGGCTGCGTGCCCACATCAGAGAGGTGCACGGGGCTTCCCAGGAGGTCTTGGTCTTCAACAGCTCCATCAACCAGAGCTTCTGCCTGCTGGAGCCTGGTGGGGACATTCACCAGGAGGCCCTGGGGGACCAGCTGCAGCTGGCTGAGGAGGAGTGTGTGTTCCAGGGGGTGAACGCCCCCAAGGAGGTGACCTGTCCTGCAGATGCTCGGCCTCAGGATGGCCAGAAGGAGCCAGAGGCCCCAAGGAAAATCGCTGCCCCGGCCAAGCACTCAACTGTACCTCTGACCCAAGGAGGCACCCTGCCCCACTGCGAGCCGGGAGCCACTGTGGTCTCACTGAGCCTGCCTTCACCGGCGGTGGTTTCTGATAACTTTCTGTTGAGAAATGATACCTCCTCTGCTGCTGAGGTTCCTGCTGAGCCTGAAAAGACTGTGGACCTCCAGCACAGAGACCCAACCCAGACTCAGGACAAAGGGGTCACACTACTGCTGTCCAAGGACAAAGACGCTAACCCACCCCAGGAGGCCCTGGACGTAGAGAGCCCTCCTCATGAAGGGCAGAACACTGCTGCCCTTCCACCCCATAACCCAGATTCAAGCGGGTATCGCAAGGCAAACCCAGCCGACACCTCTAAACTTCTTCCTCCGGTGGCGGGTGGTGGGGACACTGTCATTTGTCAGCTTGACTCATACAAACCTGCTTCAGAGCCCCAAAGTGACATCACCCCCTTCATGAAGATCCTGAATAGTTTACAGAAGAAGCAAATGACCACCAGTTTGTGTGAGAGGATCCGGAAGGTGTACGGAGACCTGGAGTGTGAATACTGTGGTAAGGAGGGTGGGGCTGGGTGAGTGGCCAGTGGGCGTTCTCCTTCCTGGCTGCCCCAGCTGCTCTGGTCGTGCCCGGGGTCTCCTGGGTATGGCCTGAGCTCATGTCTCTTTGCAAAGTGAGCTTCTTCGAAGTGAGCTGTTCTCCACATGTAGACAGGAATGGGTGCCCGCCTGCGTTGCAGTTTAGTGGCTGGTCTTTAAAAATCTCAGAGAAGTGGGTAGGCTTGGCCAGATGTTCACAGCAGGTTTATTCCACCACCTCAGAGCTTTAACCAAGAATCCTCCTTCTGGCACATGACACGTTTAAAGTAGAGTGTTGAGTTGTGGCCATGTTCTAGGTAGGGCTGCAGCTCCATACCGGAAGGGCCTCCCGATAACCCTGCAGAGTCACAAAGTGCCTTTGGAATCTCGTGGAGAGCTGGCAGCACAGGAGGGAAAGGCCCAGCGCAGGACCGTGCGTCCCAGGAGTCATCAGAGTTTAGAGACTCTGTGACTGATGCCCGCCCGTGTTAGAGCGCTTGGCACCCTAATAGCCCTCAGCCAACACTGGCTCCTCCTTCCTCAGCTCTGACCTCAGGCAAAAACAGCAGCACCCTTAATGTTGGCAGTCAGTCCCCCACCTGTAAAAGGCCATTTCCATGCAGGTATGGTGGAAAACATGAAGGGCAACCCGGACAAGCAAGAGAGGGAGAGAAACATCGTAGCTGAAAAAGAGTTTTTAAAAAATCAAGTTCCGTATAAAACAAAGTTCCTTGTTCTGATGTGGAAATATTTTTTTAGGCAAACTTTTTTGGTACCAAGTGCATTTTGACATGCATGTCCGCACTCACACCCGAGAACATCTGTACTATTGCTCCCAGTGTCATTACTCATCCATCACCAAAAACTGCCTTAAACGCCATGTCATTCAGAAACACAGTAACGTCCTGCTGAAGTGTCCCACTGACGGCTGTGACTACTCGACTCCAGATAAATATAAACTACAGGCACATCTTAAAGTTCACACGGAGCTGGTAAGTAGCAAGCCCCAGCGGCGGCCCGTTTCCCCTGGGTGCGCATTGCTTTCTCAGATCCGTGCATATGGAGGTGGCCCCACCGAGGGAGATGTGAGAGGCCACGCTGAAAAGATACAGAGGTGCTTGTCACTAAACCCTTCCCTACACTGTCCAGCGGTGTCATTCAGCCTGCATTCCTCTCAGCACAGAGTCTAACATGTTGGCAAAAAGATGAGATGGGATGAATCTGCTTTCTGTTTGCAAAACAAAACAAACCAAAAAAAATGGCAGATTCTTCAGGATCATAGAAAACATATGAAGTAGAAGTAAACAAACAAACAAAAAAATCTCTTTGGGACAGAGTAGAACTTTCCCAGAACGTATTTCCAAGGCTGCCAATCTTTACGAAAGCAATGTCCAAACCAAACCCATTGCCATCACGTCTGACTCACTGTGTCCCTAGAGGGCAGTGCAGAACTGGCCCATGGAGTTTCCTAGGCTGTAGTCTTTCCAGCAGCAAAACCCAAATCATACCCTTTGCCACGGAGTCGATTCTGACTCAGCAGCACCCCTGGAGGACAGAGTAAAATTGCCCCGTAGGTTTTCCAAAGTTATTAATCTTTGTGGAAGCAGACTGCCTCATCTTTCTCCCTAAAGGGGCTGGTGGATTCAAACTGCAGACCTTTTGCTTCGCAGACAAATGCTTTTTAAGCACTACCCCACTAGAGCTCCTTGAAATAAACCAAAGGTTTCTTAAATTACATTTTAAAGCATTATTAACAATAGGGATGGTGATAATAAGAGCTGCCACTAGAGTTCTTGGGAGTTTAAAGGAGGTAATGCATGCCAAGTGCTGCCGTCATGTTTGCTTCCAAGTGAGAGCTCAGTACATGGTGACTGCCATGCTTGGGATCATTTTATTGATTGTAAACTCTATGTGAAGCATCTTTATTTTTTTAAAAATTGGTGCTAATTCAAGATACATAATCAACTTAATATTCACAATGGTAGGTATTTGTTTTATTATTTCTTGAGAGATCATGTCATACAATGAATGAATGCTTGTTTTGGAAATTCTACTCTAGCTCTGGAGGCTGGCCCATGAGAGTGACTTGAGCCTCCTTACAGTGATGGGGGAGAGCTGGCCGCCAGGCTGGCTCTGTGTGGGCTGCGTTCCGTTTGATGTTCCAGACAGTATACGCTGAGGCTCCACACACTTGGTGTGTGACCATGGTGGTCGGCACAGAGAAGCCGAGGGCTTAGCAGTTTGCATTCAGGCCAGCCTGGCTCTGTGTGGGCTGCGTTCCGTTTGATGTTCCAGACAGTATACGCTGAGGCTCCACACACTTGGTGTGTGACCATGGTTGTCGGCACAGAGAAGCCGAGGGCTTAGCAGTTTGCATTCAGGGTTTTGGGTAAAGGGGTTAGGTAAGATCACGGACTTGGGAGGTAGAGACACCTGGCTTCACATACTGAGGCCAGCAGCTCACAAGCTGTGTGACCTCAGGCAAGTCACTTGATCTTTTTGAGACCTGGTGTCCTCGCTGTAAAATAGAGAACTATGTATCCATATATGTAAAATGGAGTACACACATAGACACATGTATCCCTGCATGTAGATAGGCATATATCTGTAGACATTGATCTACATACATGTAGCCACACATATACACACATGTATAAATGTACTCATATATTTGTAATGTGTGTGTGTTTACTTACCTGTATTTATACATATGTGTATCTCCTAGGGTTATAGGGAGATTATAATAAGGTAGTCCCTGGCTTACAGTGGGCTCTGTTCTGAAGACTATCATAAGTTGATTCTGACATGACCTTTTTCCTTTTTTTATGCAGTTTACATTATTACTGACTTGTATGATCAGTATGTGTATAAATCCAGTCCTTGCTTGCCTTTGGGATTGGCATGAGAATGCTGTTGTTGTTGTTGTTCAGTGCCATATCCAACCAGTGCTGACCCTGTGTCCAACAGAACAAAACACTGCCCAGTCCTGCACCAGGTTCACAATCTTGGCTGACAGAGCCAGGCATGGCAGCCACTGTGTCAGTCCATCTCACTAAGGGTCTTCCCCTTTTTCACTGACCCTCCACTTTATCAAGCATGATATCCTTCTCTGGGGACCGGTCCCTTCTGACAACCTGACCAAAGAAGGTGAGACAGAGTCTGGCCATTGTCGCTTCTAAGGAGCATTCCGACTGCACTTCTTCTAGGACAGATTTGTTAGTTCTTCTGGCCGTCCAGGTATTTTCAGTATTCTTTGCCAACACCAAAATTCAAAGGCATCAATTCTTCTTTGATCTTCCTTATTCATTGTCCATCTTTTAATTGCATATGAGGTGATTGAAAATATTATGGCTTGGGTTAGGCACACTTTAGTCTTCAAAGTGATGTCTTTGCTCCTTAACGCTTTACAGAGGTCTTTTGCGGCAGGCTTGAGAATGATAACATCACCAAATTCCTCACTGCCTCATATTCATGAGGGATGTTGGTCTGTAGTTTTCCTTTGTAGTGGTGGCTTTGCCTGGTTTTGGTATCAGGGGTACGCTTGCCTCATAAAATGATTTTGGGAGGATTCCATCCTTTTTTATGTTCTGGAACAGTTTGAGGAGGATTGGTGTCAGCTTTTCTCTGCATGATTGGTAGATTTCCCCAGTGAAATCATCTGTGCTAGGACTTTTTTTTGTTGGTAATTTTTGTAATGATCTATTTGATTTCTTCTTTTGTTATGGGTCTGCTCACCTTTTCCACCTCAGTCTGTGTTAGTTTAGGTAAGTAGTGTGTTTCTAGAAATCTGTCCACTTTTTCTAGGTTCAGATACTATACAGTTCTGCATAGTATCCTGATTAATGTTCTTTTGATTTCTGTTGGGTCTGTTGTGACATCATCCCTTTCATCTCTTATTCAGGTTATTTACATCTTCTCCTTCTTTTCCTTTGTTGAGTTTGCTAGTGGTTTGTCGATTTGATTAATCTTTTTAAAGAACTAACTTCTAGTCATGTTGGTTTTTTCTGTTGTCTTTCTGTTTTCTGTTTCATTGATTTGTGCTCGAATCTTTATTATTTCTTTTCTTCTAGTGACTGTAACTTTTTTTTTTTTTTTTTACTGCTCTTTTTCTAATTGTTGGAGATGTTGGGTTAAGGTGTTGATTTTGGCTCTTTCTTCTTTTTTGATGTGTGCGTCTATTGCTATAAATTGCCCTCTGGGAACTGCTTTTGCTATGTCCCAAAGATTTTGCAATTTTGTGTATTCATTCTCATTTGATTCAAGGAATTTTTTAATTTCATTTTTTATTTCTTCTATTACTCAGTCACTTTTGAGGATGGTGTATCAGTTTTCACATATTTGTTCTTTTTCCATCGGTCTTCCTAGTGCTGTTTTCTAATTTTATAGCATTGTGATCTGAGAAGATGCTTTGCAGTATTTCAGTGTTTTTCAATTTATTGAGGCTTGCTTTGTGGCTTAATATATGGTTCCATGTGCACTAGAAAAGAATGTATGCTGTGCTGTTGTTGGGTGAAGAGCTCTATAGATGTCTTTCAGGTCAGGATTTTATTGTTTAGCTCTTCCGTATCTTTGTTGAGTTTCTTTCCAGTTGTTCTATCTTTCATTGAAAGTGCTGTATTAAAGTCTCCTATTATGAGTGTGAAGTCATCTATTTGTCTTTTCAATTCTGTTAAAGTCTAATCTGTGTATGTTGGGGCTCTTTCAATGGGTGCATAAATATTTATCATGGTTATGTCCTCTTGTTCAAGTGATCCTTTAATCATTAATAATGTCCTTCCTTGTCTCTTATGGTCATTTTTGTCTTAAAGTCTGTTGTATCAGAAATTAATATTGCCACTCTAGCTCTCTTTTGGTTGCCATTTGCTTGGTATATCTTTTTCCAACCTTTTATTTTTAGTCTATTTTTGTCTTTGTTTCTAAGGTGAGTCTCTTGTAGACAGAATATTGATGGGTCATGTTTTCTTCTCCAGTCTGCAACTCTCTGTCTCTTGAATGGTGTATTTAATCCATTTACATTCAGTGTAATTATTGACAAGTATGAATTTATTGATGTCATTTTGTTATGTATTTTTTCATGGCATTGCTGATTTCTTTGTTCCATATAATTTTCTGTGCTGAGTTCATTTTGTTTATGAATCATGTTATCATTGCCTTGATTGCTCTTGTTTTAGTATTTGCTAAGTATTTGTTTTTGTCTTTTTTTATTTTGATGCGAAGGTTTATTATTCATCTTTGAGGTTACCCTGTAATTTATCATTTTCTTCTCAAATTTGAAGCTGTCTTTTCTATCTCACAATTGTCTTGCCTTCCTGACCATTTGGAAGTTCTTAACTACTCTATTTATTCCTTCTTTTTGGTTTGTAGTTGTCCTCATTTACCAATTGATGTCTCTTGTTCCCTGTTTACAGTCTTATAAGTTTATTTTACTTTGGATACTTCTATAACTGGGTTGGTGTATGGGTTATATCATCGTGTGTGTTAATCATTGGTTGTTGTTTCTCTATCTGAAGGACTCCCTTTAGCATCTTTTGTAAAGTTGGACTGGTTTTAACAAATTCCCTTATTTTCTGCTTATCTGGAAATCTCCTAATTTCACCCTCATATTTGATAGACAGTTTTGCAGGATATATAATTTTTGGTTGGAGATTTTTTTCTTTCAGAGTTTTTTAATATATATCAAACCATTGCTTTCTTGCCACATGGTTTCTGCCAAAAAAAATCATAGCTTAGTCTTATGGTTGCCCTTTTTAGGTAACTTTTTGTTTTTCCTGGGCTTCCAAATTCTATCTTTGTCTTTAGTTTTGGTGAGTTTGATGCTGATATGTCTTGGTGTTTTTCTTTTGGGGTCTTTCCTGTTTGGGGTTTGTTGAACTTCTTGAATGGATATATTCTCATCTTTCATCATATTAGAGAAATTCTCTTCCAGCAAACCTTTGACAATTTTCTCTGAGGTTTTATCTATCTCTCTGTTCTGGAATTCCAGTTACACATA